CTCAGAAAGCCTATCAGAAAGGCCCGAGTCCTTCCGAGCCTTCTGCGTAGACCCGCCTCTCCTGCGCTTCGGCAGCAAGTCATGGGAGTCTTCTGTGTCCTCGCAGCTCCGTCTTCAGAGGTAGCCGACCAGCGTCGATGCTCGTCGACTGGCGCCGGCTAAAGCGCCAATTCGCAAGAGCCAGCAAAGGGGGCATGGGAGGCCCCCACGAGTCGCCACCGAACTCTGCCGTCCCCCCCCCCCCTGGGCTTGCCGCCAGCAGGAGGAGACCCTGGACCTCCTCTTCGTGGCCGGGGCCGTGCTGGCCATCGCCGCCACGTTCATGTACAGCGCCGGGCTCCCGGTGGGCCTCGGCCTGGCGTGCCAGCCTGGCAAGGCCCAGGGCCGCGCGCAGCCGGCTGCCTCGCAGCAGCCCCCGCAGGCGCGCGCCGCCTCGGCGCGGCGGCGACCTGCGGAGAGGGCAGAGCGGCACGAGCGCAACCCAGACCTCCTGGCGTCGGGAAGAAATCACGACGGGAGGTTTTGCGCTATTTTCCGCCTCCGGGGGCCCTCCCCGGGCCTCGGGGGCGTCAAAAAACGACTCGGGGCGAAGAGCCGGTCCCGGGGAAGCGGTCCAGACCTCTATAGGGTCGGCGTCGTGAAAGAAATCACGGCGTCGGGGGTCTGGGGAGCGTCCTGCGCGCCGCGCGGGCTCCGCGGAGCTGCGCTGGACCCCCCCCTCCCTGGCGCCGCCGCGCGCCAGGGTTGGGGGGGGGGGCGGGGGGGGCCCCGCGCAGGTCCGAGGCGTCCGCGCGGAGCGTCGGGGGCCGGTGGTGGTGCCGCAGCTCCGCAGCCTTCTGCTCCTCCCCTGGACCCGAGGAGGAGAAGCTGGCCAGGGTGCCCTCCCCTGGTGTCCGCCTCCACCCACCTCCTCCTATACTTCTCCTCCTCGTCCTCGGCCTTCTCCTCCTCCTCCTCCTCCTCCTCCTCCTCCGCTCCTCCTCCTCTTTCTCCTCCTTCCCCACCTCCCCCTCCTCCCTCTCCTCCTCCTCTCCTCCTTCTCCTCATCCTCCTCTCCACTTCGCCTGGTGTCCGGGTGCCCTCCCCTGGTGTCCGGTCCTCGTGTGAGCGAGTGCGCTCTGGGTTGGACGTGTCCCCAGGGTGTGAGGTGTGCGTGGGCCCACCATTTTGGTCTCCCGGGGCCCGCTTCGGGCCCCGGGGGGCGACAGAAAACGGCACAGGGCGCAGAATCCATGCGACGGATGCGGGCGTGTCCCCTGAGATCCGACGCTGCGGGTAAGTTGCAACGTCCCTGGTAGACAGCCGGTCCTCGTGTGAACGAGTGCGCTCTGGGTTGGACGTGTCCCCAGGGTGTGAGGTGTGGGTGGGCCTCTTTTTCGTTCGCCCGTCGTCCGTCGCTCGTCTGTCGCGTCGTGCCACTGGGCTCGGTCTGCGCTGGCAAAAAGTGGGTGGGCCTACCATTTTGGTCTTGTGCTCTCTGGCCAACTTTCTCTTCAGCGGCGCTGCCGCGGGCGCTCCGGGCGGAGCACCCCCCTGGGGCCCGCCTCGGGCCCCGGGGGCGGCAGAGAACGGCACGGGGCGCAGAAGCCATGCGACGGATGCGGGCGTGCCCCCTGCGATCCGACGTTGCGGGTAAGTTGCAGCGTCGTGGAGCGTCGCGACTGGATCCCTCGACACCATCTTCTCTTGGGCGCCGCGTAATGGGGGGTCATAAATGGGGGGGTGTCGCGGGTGGTCCGAAAAGGTATCCAAACGGTACCTAAACGAGCCCCCTTGGGCTCCGGAGGGGCCCGAAAGGGGCACGAAAAGGGACCTTTTTTGACCCCCCCATTTGTGACCCCCCCATTAAGCCACGCCCAATTCTCTCAGCCCCCCCAGAGACCAGGACAGCAAAGACTGACCAGGAGATGGGCAAGTCGGGAAAACGGCACCCCTTTCCTGCAAAGCCAGACTCTGGTCGTCCAGTGCATGTTCTTCCTGCTGCACTTGGTCGTCCAGTGCATATGTCTGTTGCTGCGCTGCAGGATTCGAGTATCTGCCCAGGTCTAGGGGAGGTTTCGCAGGCTTTCATGGCTTTGTCCGGGTGTATTCTGGGAATGTTGCAGTGCAGTTTTTGTTTGTCCGTGCCGCCCTCTTGTGCAGTGCAGTTTTTGATTCGTGCCGCGGCCGTGGGGAAAGTTGGTTTCGAGGTATGTTGGATGTCCCGGTCTAGCGTGTCCAGGTTTAGGGCCCCCTGATTTTCCGCGGCATTTCACGAACCGGATCGATCTGCGAGGGCCCTGGGTCTAGGACTGGGCAGAAACGCCCGGTGAGAGTTGCCACGGCGACAGACGACCTTTTTAGCAGCTTCACGCAATTTTGATGTTGGGCCTCCCTGTGGATGTCTGTTGAAGTGGTGCGCTGGGCTGGTGCGCGCACCTCTTCGAACCGGTCTGCGCCACGACGCCGCGCGGGGCCGCGTCGACACAACGCGCGTGCTCTGCAGGAGGGGTGCGCCGAGATGGGCGGAGGCGCGTGTGCGCAAGCGCGCCTTTCGAGGCCGTGGGCAGCTCCCCGATCCGCGCGAGGAGTGTGCCAACGTGTGCACAGGCGACCTCCGATGCGGGTGCGCACAGTGAGGCCGTAGGTGGGCCTCGCTATGGGGCACGATCCGTTCGAGGGGTAGTTTCCGTCTTGCGGTGAGAATTCTATCAAGCTGCCTGCGGCAGGTCGCATGGGACGCCATCTTTTCACTTTTGGGTGAGGTTTCAGGTGTCTCGTTCGGACCGTCCTGCGGCAGTGAGGCCGCGTGCCGTGGCGCTGGCAAGCGGACCCTCCCACCCTACGGCCGACGTGCCAGAGTTTCTGTTGGCAGTGCACAAGTTGGTCGGATGTTTTATTGAAACGTGTCTATTACTTGCAGTGCGGACTGTCTTGTTATTTCGAGGGTGATTCGCAACATCGAGTGCGCGAGTATTGCCCCGAGTGATGGATATGCCATGCGATCCAGGTGAGAGGTGTGCTGACATGGGCACGGCGCCATGCGGTCGGGCACACCGAGCCCGCCGCAGGGGGAGCCTCCCGTGGGTCCACGGCCCTCGTGAGAGGCGTGCCGACATGGACGCAGTGGCGCCGTGCGTCCGTGCCTCCGAGGCCGTCGGTGGGGCTTTTGGGGGGGCCACGATCCTCGCGAGGGGTGCGCCGGCACGGGTGCGATGGCGCCCTGCGGCTGCGCCCGCCGCGGGGGCGCGCCTTGGGGCCACGATCTCGCGAGGGACACGCCGAGGTGGGCGTGGCGGGCGCCGCCACGCGGTCGTCATCATGTACATCAGTATCGTCAGAATCGTCGCCGTCATCATCAGAAGCACCACCATCATCATCAGCGAGAGAATGATCTACGTCCTATAATGTCTGCGCCGTAGGTAGCGGCCCCTAATGAATGTGGCCGTGGCCCTCGTGCGGGGCGTGGCGACGTGGGCGACGTGGGCGCCATGTCGCCTGCGTCCACCGAGGCCGCGCAGCGCCGCGGACCCTGAACGAGCACCAAACTTTAAGTCGGGCGTGTCCCCCCACAGGGGGATTTTGGGCGAAAAAATTAAAGATACCCCAACAATTGCGAAAAATGCTCAAAAATAGTCAAACAGGGCCTTACTCTCTAGACGTAGGGCCAGCGCCTTCTAAGAAGCAGCCTCCTTCGAAGAAGCCTTTCCCCCCTCCCCCACCGCCCCGTGCGCGCCGCCAACTGGCGCAGGCGTTCAAGGTTGATCGCCGCTGGTAGCCCAGAATCCGCCGATACTGCACGATCTGCACTCTCGGACAGCCGCGATCGCTCAAGGTTGCTCGTGCTCGACCCACGCAGCGTCAGGAACCAGCGCGCCGTGCGCCAAGGCATGGGCCAGCCGCATCTCTGCGTGTGTGTGCGTGTGTGTGTGTGTGTGTGTGTGTGCGCGTGCGCTTGTCTCCCCGGCAGCCGGGATCGCCTCGGAAAAAAAATTGTGGGAACAAAAACACACACAGGGAAAAACACACACACATTGTGTGTGTGTTTTGTTGTTTCTTTTCCCACTGTATGTTTTTTCCCACAGTGTGTTTTTTCCACAGTGCCTCTCTGTGCGCAGCCCCAGAGCCATGCCGGTGCCAGCTGGCCAGGGGGCAGGGAGGCGGCAGCGTGGCGCCGTCGTAGCTATGGGCCGTCGGAGGAGAGCCAGACGAGACAACGGCGGCCCTCCAGTCCGGCCCACGAGGTCCAAAGTGGACGACCCCCCCCTCAAGTGTTGGGGTTCGGGGGCGTGCACGGGTTTCACACTGCTTCGTCCATGCTCCGGAACGTCTCCCCTCTGGAATTGACAGGCCCAGCGGCGTCTTCGGGTTTGGTCGGGGTGGGTGGGGGGGGGGGGGGAGCCCGTGGGCCAAACCCAAACACAAGGGGGCCGAAGGGGTTTTGGGGTGGTTTGAGGGGGGGGGGGGTCGTTTGGGGGAGGGGGTTGTGGATTTGGGGTTTTGGGTGGTTTTGGGGGGGGGCGGTTGGGGTGGTTTGGGGGGGGGGTTGGGGGGAGTCAGTAGGCTCTGCGTGCGTCGGCCACGCAAGGGCGACGCGCACGCTCGGAGAGCTCGTAGTAGTTCACGTCGCAGCGGGCGCTTCCTGGCCGGGCCTGACCGGGCAACGAGCCACTGCAAGACTGCGAAGGCCCGTTCGGCCGGTGCCGCCGACCCTGAAAGACATCGACGACGACCAGGAGGGGGAGGAGGAGGAGGAGGAGGCGGAGATAAGGAGGAGGAGGAGGAGGAGGATGAGAAGAGGAGGAGGAGGAGGAGGAGGAGGAGGAGGACCCTCTGGTCCGAAGACCGTTGTTTTTGAAGTCCACGCAGCAACTTCATTTTTATGAAGTCCGACTTTGTCTTGGCACGCTTGGTTTCAGTGATATGTTGTTTTAAATGTAACATGTTGTGTTTCTGTGTTGTTTTCAACCAGAGCGCATGCAAGTTCCTTTTCATACAGTTCCATTCATTCAACCTCCCTCCCCTCGCAATGGTATGCGATCTATATATATATATATAAATAAATATGTATCTATATGCGTGTATATATATGGGGCCTTCAGTGTAAAGTCAAGCTGTCGAAGTGCGTCGCGGACGAAAACGCATGCTACGTGCGCCTCGCTTGCTCATGGCCTCCTGGAAGTTGGTGACCCGCCTCCTCCTCGATCCTCCTCCTCCTCATCCTCCTCCCCCATCCTCCTCTTGCTCCTCCTCTTCCTCCTCCTTACTCTCGTCGTCTCCCTCCTCATATTCCCCCCTCTTCTCCTCCTCCTCCTCCTCCTCTTCCTCCTCCTCTTCCTCCTCCTCCCCTCTTCCTCCTCCTCCTCCTCCTCCTCCTCCTCCTGTTCTCCGCCTCCT